AAGCCAGACCAAATAAATCTTTAAGGGTTAGCTATCTCTGTGATTTCAAACCATTTAAACCATCTAAACCTTTTAGGTAAATGACACATTAAGATCCCAATAGTTGAAGCACATAAAGTCATTTACTCTGGTTAAAGTGGGTATGGAGAATTGAAACCAGTAGTGTGCTGGTGAATATCTGTCAACTCTCCAAAGGAAAAAAAAATCCCTGGATTGTGCCATTTGCTGATTTTCATGATGTAAATACTCCTACTATGGCCTATTTCAAGATACTAACATGATGCCACTATACATGGAATTGGAAAGAAATTCACACAATCATCTCAGAATTCAAGTTGGCTCCAGCATACTATTGGTTGAAATTCAGTCACCTAAACCCCTTCTCCCCATTCTAGCCCTTTTCTCACCTAAAGCATTCCTAAAGATCCCCCAGAACATAACTTGGGAATCCATGGGTGAATATGACACCTTTAGGGTACAGAGTTAAACCCAGGCTTCCTAATGTCCATTCAATGTTCTTTCCATTGCATTAAAGCTTCCAATCACCTAGTTAATATGCCATTTTCCTGCTTCCATTTTTTCCCACCCAATTTCACTTGTATTTCGTCAATAGATTTGGTACTAAAACTACCTGCTTTTAGCAACAGCAAACCGCTGTTTTGCTTTAAAACTTTCTATGGCTACCCTAGAAGCCTATAAGATCAAGTGTAGGCATTTTGGCCTGGTTTGCAAACTCCTCCATAATCTGATGAGGCCTTTTCGTCCCCTACCTTCACATACATGCACCAAAATAAGTCCAGCTAAATTTTTATTCTAGAAAACTTTTCTTGTTCATGATTGCCTCTGGGCATTAGCTATTGCTTTACCACTTACTTGGAATACCATCACTATCACCTTTACCTGTCCAGTTCTAACGAAATTTCATACCTTGGTTCATACCACATATCCTTTTGGAAGATTTTCTCGACCACTGAAGTCCATAGGATTTGCTACCACCCTTAAACTCTCATTGTACAAATGAGTTTCTGCTATTCTCTTGCCACTTAGAATGTGAGACCTCTTATTATTAGTTTACATTTAAGTTCACATACTTTTCATGTATTTTGAGGTCAATGTTCATGTGTGTTTCTATGTACATGTATGTTGTATCTGTGTTTATATTAGTGTTCATGCACTTATATGCATGTGCTATGTTCTGCTTGAGTTTATGAATTTGTTTCAGTATTTCTTTTTCTATACCTGTGCATGTATGTCTTTGTGTACAGCATGTCTGTGTCCTATGTGTATTGCATGTCTGCGTTCTATGTTCTTGTGTTTCTGTGTAAATTTTGTGTATTGTGTGTTACTGAGCTCACATGTTATCCCTGGAGCCATTTTATGCACATACACATATCTATGTTTATGTTTGACCTCATGTATCTACATCTGTTTTTCAAAGTGGTACTTGTGTGTTTATATGTGTGTATGTGTCTTAGAGTAGGACTGAGGATTTCCTCTTCATATCTCTGCTTCCCTCTATCACAGCCAAGCCCAAGGTGCACAGGGTGTTTTCAGCTAATATATTCACACTGATATACTGCTCCATCCTTTTCCTAAGAAGGTAGGCTATGGGGGTGAAAGTAGGCACCAAGCCACAGTGACTTCTAGATACTAGACCTCAAAAGGCTGCTCATTCACAATCTGTGAACTGTTATCACATGCCATTGTCCAGGAAGTACTGGGTTTGAAGATAAGGAAGAGGTAAACTCCCTAGATTACCTGTCCATCTCTTTATCCTCTCCTCTTCAACTACTTCCTTTATGTTTCAGTTCAAGTATCACCGTGGGGTATTGAGGGGGGGAATATACATTCTTGGAAATGGGCCTATTTGGATGGGAAATCTCATTTCTGCCACTTACCAGTTGTGTGACCATGGGCAGGTTCCATGGTGCATCTGGACCTCAGTTTCTCCAACCAGAAAATGTTGTTCTTGATGCTGAGGATGTTGTTCAGTGTAGAGTATGTGCTTATCATGGACAAGGGCCTGGGTTTGATGCCCAGCACCACAAAATAAGGGGTGTTCATAATGTCTTTTCTATAGGTTAACACCTGGAGTTAACAGCAAGAGCTCTATAAAAGATCATTTTGGTATCAATTCCTCTGGGAACCCTTTCCATACTATTATATCTTCAATAGATATTGTTTAAACCACAAATTTTAAATCTCAATAATCCAGTTTGTGTTAGTGTGAAAATGTGTGTGCCCATTGGTACGTCCATACTTGTAAGTCTTGACTTTATCTAAAATCTTACTTAGCCAGGGACCATGTCTAACATTTCTTCTGTCTTTCTTACAACATCCAAAGAAGGTCTGGAAATATTATCTAAGTGGTCATTAAAGGTATGAAGAAAACAAATAGTATGGTACTTAACAACATCATTTCTTGAGCTATGAGCTTGAATCTCGTCTAGATACCTCTATACAGGTAAGTCATTTCATTATTCTAGGTCTTAGTCTTATTTGTAAAATGAAGACATTTAATTCATTCACTCCACAAGTATTTATTAAATCTTTATTATATGCTGGGTACTGTTTTTGGCACTGGAGATACAGCAGTGAACATAACATACAAAAAACTGCAGCCTTATGGTCTCCATTCCAGAGAGTGAGACAGACAACAAACAATGAAGTCAATAAATATGCAATATATTAAGTAGTGGTAAGTTCTACAAAGAAAAAGAAAAGCAGTGCAGAGGAGTAAAGAGTAATGAAGAAAGATAGAAACATAATTAGAATAATACCCACCTGCGGGATTGTAAGAAACAAATTAAGTCATCCATGAAAAATGCTTAGTAAAGTGCTTAGTATAGTATAGTTTCATTTTTAAAAATCTTAGAAGAGGGGCTGGGATTGTGTCTCAGCAGTAGAGCGCTTGCCTAGCATGGGCAGGGCCCGAGTTTGATCCTCAGCACCACATAAAAATAAAGGTATTGTGTTGTGTCCATCTACACCTAAAAAAAAATATTAAAAAAAATCTTAGAAGATACAGCATCAAGTCTAATGAGGTGATAATTGGGGAAGCTGAGGTTCATAGAGATTTGATTTGTCCAAAGCCTCAGGATGAAATAGATCCAGAGCCCTGCCTGTCTCCAAGTTAACTGACTTCCTATCCAATTCTCTTTTGATCTACTGGGCTGCTGAGTCCACTGCAAGGCTGGAAGTCTTCCCCAGAGAAATTCTGTGCATGCTTCCCGGCACAGTTACTTATCTTTAGATACAGGAGCTCCTAATAAGATGCAAGAGACAGCTCAAAAGATACACAGGGCTAGGCAGAAATTGACACCAGTTTAATGGGTTTCCACCTCCTCAGCAAGAAAAGCTGTAGAGGGGAGGGTCAGTGTGTATGTGTGTGTGTGTGTGTGTGTGTGTGTGTGTGTTAGTAGTGGTGGTAGGATGTTGGTTGGAAAATACAAAAGGAAGTTTCTCTGAAATGCAGGTTTCCCTGAATGAAGACATAATGGGAAAGAAAGCCTAAAAGTTACAGTGAGGTGAACTGAAAGAAGTAGCCAAAAAACAAAGGACAGGAGCTGGGGTTGTGGCTCAGGGGCAGAGCGCGCACGTGTGAGACCCTGGATTCGATCCTCAGCACCACATAAAAATAAATAAGTGAAATAAAGGTATTGTGTCCAACTACAACTACAAAATAAATATTAAAAAAAGACAGCCAGCCAAGGGTTACTGGGTTCAGGAGGCAGAGAGGTTTGACAGAATTCCATGTGATAACTGAACCTGAAATTCTGGGGTCTCCTCTTACCACTTGCATACAAACCCAAATCATTTGTATGTAGCCATCTCTTGGAACTAGTATTTCTGTCCAATCCCATTTCCCTGAATAAGACCTCCCTCCTTAACTAAGCCCTCTCATATACCTCCAATCAAATAGAAAACAAATCCTAGACATTACTTATAGTGCAGCATGAATTTGTTGGATGTATTTTTCATTTTCAAATCACTTAGGATTTCAAAGTTTAGTTGACTGCAAGCAGTGCCACACATAGAATTAGACTACTGATGAAATTTCAGTCACTCTGGGGCCTGTGAACAGGAGTGATTTTTGGAGCAACTGAAATTTGCTAAGGGACTTCACTCATTCTCTTGTAGGTCAGAGTCTCTACAAATTAGAAGTCAACAAATTAATTCAGTCTAATAGAGCATATCACTATCAAGTCCATGGTCTATTGCATTGAAAGCAAAGTTTATCCTTCTCTTAGAAGAAGTGAATAATAAATGTCTTGTGAAAAAACATGAGGATATTAATGAAAATGGATTCTCCTTTACCACCAGGGAGGTGGAATTATTGGAGAAAGTGATTGAAAGTGCTTTCCCATTATGAGATATGGGGCATTTCCTCTTATCACTGCATTATCCATGGGTTTGCCAATTATTTAAGCTTTGTTGTGTAGAAAGCCCTTTCACACACTAAGCTCTTGTAATCAGAAGCCCACAGGTGCCCCAACTCTAACACTGTCCATTTACATAGGCTGAGCGGGCAGGAGTTAACAGTACAATTGATGAAAATTGCATAGGCCAGCAAAGTTGATTTCTTCTCCCTGGGCCCACCAGAAAGGAAAACACCCCCATACTGGAATGAGCAGACTCACCCTAAAGGTCACCCCCAACTTCTGAATCTTGTGGAGGGGACCCAAAATAAACACAGCCTGGGAGATCAAAGACCAGAGAGCCCCACTGGCTCCAGGGAAATTCAAGTCAATACCATAGCAGCGGGAGGAATTGCTTCACTCACCCTGAATCTCCAAACTCAGGCAGGGGGAAGGGGGAATCCCACGTGACTTGGGCTGAAATAGGAAAGGAAGGGAAATGTGAGGTGGGACTAGGAGTTCAAGTCAGAGATATAGATAAGGAAGGGAAGTAGGCAGACACAGACACTGGCAGCCACCAGGAGTTCAAGTCTCCTTGGCAGTTGGAGGCTGGAAGAAAGGATAGAAGTGGCTCTGACTGTGATGGGGATCTTGCTGGGTCTGCTGCTCCTGGGCCACCTAACGGTGGTCACCTATGGTAAGGCAGCAAGTGGGGGCCTGGTGCCACCATGGGCCCAGGCAAACGACTGGGGGGTTGGTGTTGAATGCTTACTGAAGAAAGCCTATTCCTGCTGGGACAGGTGAGTGTTCTCAGCTAATGCTGCAAGTTTTCCAATTTTGGGCAAAGGAAGGGAGAGAGTAGAAACCTGGTGAAAAAGCCAGAAGCTAAGTTTTGGTACAATTTGATAAGGATTCCCTCTTGGAAAACATCTGCATGGTTTTCTAATGCTTGTATATCCAGACACCCATCAAAAGACTCCCAATATGGCCCAAATCCCCCATCTGCTCTCTTTCATCTGTAATTCATCAATTAGACCTAATCTCTATGCTTCTAGGCTTTGCTCCTTGTTTGCTATGCAGCCTCTGAAGAAGGAATGATGTCTAAGAAGTAGGCGAGACCTTTGAAGTAGGCTATATCACTATTCATCGTTGGAAACAAGTGCTCAGCATTGTCTGTTGACATACTTCTATTGCCTGGGAGTTTATTACTTCTCCAGACCATCTTGTCTATCCAGGAGCCACTCCAAATGTTACTTGTGTGGAACTAAATCTGCCTCCCTGTGGCTTCCCTCCAAAAGCCCCTTCTGGAAATCACATAAAACATGTATGCTTTCTTTTCCCTGTGAAATCTCTTTAAAGGACTTAAGAAATATACTATGTCCTCTTAAATCTTTTTTTTATCCAATTAAAGAGCCCTAGATTCTTCACCTAGTCTTTATAGGACTTGGTTTCTTACTAACTCTTAGGCTAACTAACTTCTCTGTAGACATGGCCCAGTTTGTCTGGACTTTTGCAAAAGAAGCTGAACTATCCCATAGTGGCATTCTTTCTGTGGATCTTTCTCTGCGCTCCTTTACAACCTGAAAAGTGAGATGAATTTTCACGAAATTAAGCCTGGGTAATAGCTAAGTAAGATTCAAGATAGGGTAAAGGGGTTCTTGCTGAACCCCTGCTTGTTTCATCTCCCTAGAGGGAGAGGCTAGATGTGTGTTAGTTTGATGTCATATGTGCAGTCAGAAACCCAGCTTTCTTTAACTAACTTAGATTAGGTTACCATGTTTTGGGACTCTGGGACTCATCAACCTCTAAAATCTAAAAGTTTTAAAAGACCCTGAATTAAGTCAGCTCTTAGGGAAAAGAATTTTCCCTAGGCCACAGATCATTAGTGATGAAGTTAGTGCTCCTGCTCCTGAGTTCTTTCTATAACTAAAATAGTTTTATTGTGAAGTAAATTTTAGAGTATACCTCTCTGCCTCCTCTTAATTTGCTGGTTTGAGCTAAGATTTATTGAGGTAGGGTGGCAACATAGAGAAACGTTGTATAAATGTTAAATTTAAATCGCGCGCGTGTGTGTGTGTGTGTGTGTGTGTGTGTGTAAATTCTTGGGAGAGGGAAGGAGAGAGAGAGAGAGAGAGAGAGAGAGAGAGAGAGAGAGAGAGTAAGTAAGCATGTGAGCATTCCTATGTGTCTTGTTTTTTCCTAGTCTGTAAACATCTCCAGCTCTGGCAGCAAGCCTTCCATATGTGTATAAGTTCTTACACTAGAGCTGTGGTTCAGGATACACCACATAGCCAATAAAGCACACCCCCCCTCTCCTTGGACCTCAGTGACCCTAGCCCATCTGTACAGTGAGAAGATTGACTTGGTTGGTCTCAAAAGGGGCTGCCAGCTGGATAGTTCTGTGGGATTGTGACTTCAATGCTATAAAACCTCTAGGGGCCTTAATTAACTTTCAGTCTCTTCCTCCAGGCTAAGACACATGTTGAAACAATCATAATAAAATGATGTTTTCACATTTTATAAACATTTTAAACACTTCATAAACACTTTAAACATTTTATAAACATCTGTTATCGAAGCTAATCCACTATCCAGAAGGTAGCTCAGGAGAGGGAGACAGGCCAGGCACAGGAGGTGTTGGGACACACAGGAATGGGAAATCTCACTCTCTGTGATGATGGGAGGAAGAGGATTCTGAAAGGGACCCAGAATGTGCCTGAGAAAGGGGCCTACACTCAACAAATCAAACCTTTCCTTTCTTCAGGGCCATTGCACTCTGCTTTTTCAAGTCCAGTGTCCCTGCTTTCTTAAGATAAAATCTCCTTCAAAAAATGTGTGCATCCCTGGTCTTTCTCCTGAAGGAAACAAACATTTAAAGGAAATACAATTTCCCTGAGAGAGGAGAACAGGCTCTGTGATTATGGGAAAGGTTTTTTATAAAGCAGCTAACACATGGGGGCATTTTTTTCAGGCAGTCAGAGGGATTCTATCTAGCAGTAGGATACCATACTTGAAAGCTTGTTAGGTAGATCCAGGTAAGGTATCATTGCTTTCAGTTGTGGTGGTGCTTTAATAAGTTAAGAAAGCAAGCAAGAAATGTACCATGTGAAAGCCTATATTCTAGGCCTCCAATCCCATCTGTGTCTTGCTATCTATGTGAAATTGCACCTCTCCCTCTCCCTCTCCCTCTCCCTCTCCCTCTCTCTCTCTCTCCCCCCGTGCCCATAGGTACCCTTGAAGAAATGTGATTAAATGATTTCTAAAATTCCAGAAGTCTCCAAATTTCATCCTGCCTGATACCTCAATCCCTTTTGTACCAAGTAGCTCACCATTTGGTGGTTTTAAGGTATCCATAGGGGCAGAACGTTTCACCAGGAGGTGGAACTTTCCTGAAATGGATTTTTCCTATTCAATATTCCAGGAATGTTAGAAGTATTGCTTAATTTGGCCAACATTTCACATTGGTTGCCAAGCCAGTCCTGTTATTGGAGGCACATGCTACTGTGTTCTGTCTGGCTGCCTTAAAACCCACAGATGGCCTCATACTGGTCCATAGCTCAGTGGAGCCTATTAGGATGGGGAGAGTGGCTCCTTACCTTGTCATATGATAACTTCTCTTTCATGACGCTATTGAAGATGCCAGTGATCTAATCAAATGAATTTATTTATGTAGGGGAAGACATTGTTGAGAACTGTTATGGGGCAAATAAAATCAAAGCAAATATGATAAATTTCACTTGGGTCATAGGAGAAGACTGTATTCATCCAGCACCTACTAAACGTGAGCTATGCTAGGTGCTTTCACGTGTATGAGCTCATATAATTGTATCAATAACCTTCCATGTAAAATATATGTTATGATATTCATTTTATTGATAATTGCCTAAAGTTCAGACAGATTTTAGTCATTTATCCAAGGTCACACAGAGAAATGGTAAGACAGACCTTGTATCTAGATGTTGTCTACCTTATGCAGTCTTTCTGTTTTCCTGATCTCACTAGGTTCTCCTGCTAGGTGTTTTTCTAGGATCTCTGGGCACCATATAGATAGTTGGAAGGTGTAACTCAATGTTATTGTTGTTATCTTCACTCTGGATAAAAGGGAACATGGAGAATAGTAGAATGTCCTCTTTCTTGTGATGCTCTCCATATACTATCCACTCACTATGCTACTAATGAAAGCAGGAGGAAGTAAAGGACAGAAGAACACGGAGGAGAAGAAACAAGAAAAGAAGGAACAGAAGTAAGGTGGAGTAGTGAATGGAAGAAGGAAAGAAGGAAGGAGGGAGAGTGGAAGAAAAAGTTAAATACAGGGGGAAATAACTGTGCCATTTTGGAAAGTGTAATTACCAACTATCCCTCACCCCCATTCTGGCATGGGGGATTCAAGCCTGACCTACTTTTGGAAGTTAATTTCAACATTGTAAGATTGGGACTGGGTGGCTGTGTTCTTGACAAACCAGAGTGGGCTAAGTGAGTATATCTAACAAATTCTCAGCGAGAAATGCAAGCCAGGCATTGCATCTCCCTTAAGGTCACAGGGAATACATGTATATGCATAGACAAAAGCATTTTCAGAAGCTCCAGATAGCCTCACAGAAGAATTCTGCACTGCTGCCCAGTAGGGAAGTGTGAGAATGCTTTTCAATGGGAAAAAAAGAGAGAGCGGTTGGGGAGGGTTAAAGGAAGATTAATGGGTTCATTAATTGGTTCATTAAACCAAGAAGCTCAAATGTTTTTTGCATGTGGCTAAACATATGTGTGGGAAAGTGTGTCCAAGGTGATTATAAGCTGTATCTTTATGCACATGGAAGCATGAACCATCAGTAGCACAGTGAAAGTGACCACTTGGTGAAAGTTCACCACCAGCTAGCACATGTATCTATTTAATTTCTGTTCCCATTACTGTCTTTTAGCGCTTGAGCAGAGTAGAAAGAAACCTTAAAGAATAATCCTGTCTAAGACTCAAACAGAGCTTAGAACTTCCCCCAGATAGCTTAATTCATCCATAGAAAGCTCTTATTTTAAAGTTCATTGCTAGGGCAAACTAAAATCTGTCCCTTTTGTATTTTCATCTGTAAGAGTCAGTTCTGCACCCTGCCATGTCTGAAACTCTCCAGGGAGTTAGTGGTGGATTTAGCAACATGGAATTAATGTTTGTTTATTCTTTTCTACTCAAGGCCTTTATCTTGGCCAAAATATTCTATTCTTCTAAGAGTCCCTGGTGGGGGCACAGGCCAAAGGCTTAACTTTAGTATTCCCATTGATAGAAACCCTGGTGCTTGACAGTAAATTTTAGAAGCTGGAAATAATACCCCCACCCTATCCAAAAGGTGTAATATTCTGTCTGCTTGACTAGAACCTGGGGATCCTGGGCTAAATAAAAGAATATTGTTTAATAATAGCTCACACTCAGAAACCACATGTCCTAGGAGAGATATGAAAATATTGTCTAAATATCACCCATTTCTGCTGGCCTCAGTTGAATAGAACACAAAATCCTCAAAATGTGAGCTTATGGATGGAAAATTCTAATGGGAAGACAATGCCTATTTCAATGTCCCCATCCTTTTCCCTCTGGTTTCCCTCCTTAGTCCACTATGGAACATTACCCCTTTGTTCCTACCACCATTCCTAGCACAGTCAGTGCCAGGATTTTACTCAGACCCTTTTTCTCTCTCCAGATCAAGTATGGACAAATCTTTGCCCCTCAGGATGGAATTTTCCAATGAATCTTGATTATAACTAAGAGAAACCAAAAAGGAAATAAACAAAGGAAAAAAAAAAGAGAATTCAGGAAAAAAAATCAGTCAGACTTACAAAGTACAGGTTTCAAACTTAACAATAACTGATGATTTTGTTAAACAGGAATGCACACCCAGGCCTGTTCCATATACTAATTCCACCCTCAGAATTCCCTGTAGCTTACTTTCTTCCTTCTATCCAAAGAAGAACTCAGGGTTGAGACCCCAATCAGTGAGCCTTTCTTCTGAGGAAGCAAGGGGGCCTTTCCTTGCCAAGACCTGAAACCCCCACATTTCTCCAGGCACATATTTACACAAAATGAAATAGTCCAGACCCAACTGCTCATTTTTGCTCCAACATCTCTTGGAAAAATGTTACAAGAAAAAAATTGTTTTCATGGATATGCAGACTATCAGAGTTGGTAGAATCCATAGAGATCTTTCTATCCAAACTCTCCACATTATAGATGAAGAAAATTAGTCCTTTATGGTGAGAGTTACTTACTCAGGGTCAGATACTAAGGGTCACTAGCAAAGCAGTGACATGAAAAGGACTTGAAACACTTAAAAGCTAACAACAATGTTAAGGATTTTCTTCTGAAGACTGATTCTGATTGATAAGGAAGCTGGCAGCGAACAAAAGGGCACAGGAAGCAAAAAAAAAAAAAGTGTGATGGAAGGAAACTTAAGGAATGTTTCTTAGAAACACCTTGAGGCTTACTACTGCCATCATAGTTCCCAGGTGGTTATATCATCTATGTTGTTTGTTTCCTTCCTCTGTTCCCTTTCTTCAGGCCATCCCATACTGGAAGGACCAGAGAGTGTGATAGGGCCATGGAAAGGGGATGTGAATATTCCCTGTACCTATGGTCCCCTGAAAGGCTACACTCAAGTCTTGGTGAAGTGGCTGGTACAACGTGGCTCAAACTCAGTCACCATCTTTCTACGTGACTCCTCTGGAGACCATATTCAGCAGGCCAAGTACCGGCGCCGCCTGAATGTGAGCTATGAGGTTCCAGGGAATGTGTCCCTCCAACTGAATACCCTAGAGATGGATGATAGAGGCCACTACATTTGTGAAGTCACCTGGAACACCCCTGATGGTACCCAAGTGGTACGAGAGAAGATCATTGAGTTCCGTGTCCAGAAAAGTGAGTTTCTGTGTTACTTTGTGAGTAGGAAAGTATTGATCAGCAAAGATCCAATAAAGTATTATATTCACAGAAACCTCTGAGAAATTGAAAGACCTTGGTTTATCTGTGCATAGGTTCTATTAAGTTATATTGCTAATGAGAGAAAAGTGACAGGCACAGGATCCTCAGGGTCATCAATTCCATGGTAGAAATTTATGAAAATATTGGAAGGGCTCCTGACTTTCAAATCTCTACCTCTTCAAGTGTCCCAGAAATTATGGCATCCATAAGTTGGTTGCTCTCCTTAAGCAAATCTCCAAATCCTATAAGATATATTCATTTTTGTGAATGAATAAAAAACTCATAAAAATGAATATATCTTATAGGATTTGAAGACTAGATAAATGCAAGCCCAGAAGTTTTTGAGAAAAGGAAGCAAGGGTCAGCCAACGTAAATTTTCCTGGCTTTGCAGTTTTGTAAAAATCTGACCCTAGTAATCCAAAACTATAGATAATCCCAAAACTACTTGAGCTCAAAAATAAAAATAGCATTATTTTCTTAAGTCAGTTGAATTTAAACTGCAGATAATTCTACAGATAATATATATTTAATCTTCCAAAGGAAAATATTTTTATCTTCATTTCTCTTTTTCCTTCTTCTTTTCTAAGCCAAGAGCCCCCGTTAGTTCCATTTGAAGTTATACCCATGTCCTTGTGACCAGCAAGGATAATTTAGCCTTGTGTCCCCATATCCATAAGATTTCCTAGAGCTTCCTTTCTTGTCTTCCCTTTGCATTTCCTGTCTCCAAGCCTACGGTGACAACTGGCAGCGGTTACGGTTTCACGGTGCCTCAGGGAATGAGGATTAGCCTTCAATGCCAGGCTCGGGGTTCTCCCCCCATCAGTTATATTTGGTACAAGGAACAGACTAATAACCTGGAACCCATCCGAGTAGCAAACTTGAGTACCTTACTCTTCAAGCCTGCAGTGGTGGCTAACTCAGGCTCCTACTTTTGTACCGCTAAGGGCCGGGTAGGCTCTGAGCAGTGCAGTGACATTGTGAAGTTTGTGGTCAAAGGTGAGCAGCCCTCTCTCCTGGTGAGAATCTTAACAGACAACCTTGAACCAAAGATACCTCTGGATTGTTCCTTATGCCAGAGGACAGTTGGGGGAGTGGGGTTCTGAATAGGCAATGGCTATACAATTATACACCCCCCCCCCACACACACACACACACATTTGGTACTGGAGACATTAGAGCTAGAGATAATGCCTGTCATTTAAGAAAGGAAAACTGACATTTACCAGGTACATCATATTTGTCTAAGTTCAAGAACTCAATACACATTTTCTCAATGAGTCCTCACAAGTGTCCCATGAGGTACCTATGGTTACTCTCATTACTCTCATTCATTCTCTCTGTCTCTGTCTCTCTCTCTGTCTCTCTCTCTGTCTCTCTCTCTCTCTCTCTCTCTCTCTCTCTCTCTCTCTCTCTCTCTTTGGTGGTTCTAGGGATCAAACCCAGGGTCTCAAG